TGGGCGATCGACCCAGCAAGTCGATGAAGTGGGGGATCGAGCCAGTAAGTCGATCAAGTAGGTGACCGACCTAGCATGTCGATCAAGTGGGGGATCCACCCAGCAAGTCGATGAAGTGGGGGATCGACCCAGCAGGTCGATCAAGTGGGGGGTCGACTCAGCAAGTCGATGAAGTAGGGGATCGACCCAGCAAGTCGATCAAGTGGGGGATTGACCCAGCAAGTCGATGAAGTGGGGGATCCACCCAGCAAGTCGATCAAGTGGTGAATCGGCCCAGCAAGTCGATCAAGTGAGGATCGACCCAGCAAGTCGATGAAGTGGGTGATCGACCCAGCAAGTCGATCAAGTGGGAGATCGGCCCAGCACGTCGATCAAGTGGGGGATCGACCCAGCACGTCGATCAAGTGGGGGATCCGTCCAAAACGTCGATCTGACTACCCTGAGTATTAACACTATTTTGTTTATTTTGACTGTTTTGACAGTCAGTCCTTCTGTCAGTCCGTTCGTCAGGTCGTCCGTCTGTCTGTCTGTCAGTCCGTCCGTTAAGCCGTTTGTCCGTCAGGCAGTCTGTCAGGCCGTCCGTCCGGCTAACCGTCCGTCCGTCAGGTCGTCAGTCCGTCCGTCTATCCGTCAGTCCGTCCGTCTATCAGTGAGTCCGTCCGTCTGTCAGTCACTCCTTATGTGTGTGCACGAATTCTTTTTCATCTTTAGATAGAATTATAAACTTCCTCTTATTTCGTTTCTCATTCACTTTACTCTATGGTAACTATATCATGTAGTCACTAGATTATTTATAGCTACCCAACAGTTCTCACTGTTGTTTGTTTTTTTGCATCTGAAGATAACATGCTGGAAAAATGTGCGGCACATTCCTAAACGCGTGATATTTATGAACTTTCATACAAAAACAATTTTGATCCTAAAAGATAAGATAATTTACAGTCTGTTTATTAATTTCATCAAAATCACAAAGGATATTATTTAAACATTTCAAATACAAAGACCAAAATAATGGCATTTACGGAAAAACATTATACGCGCTTCTTGAAAAGTATGATATGTGGCCAGTTGGTCATTTTAAATATTTTTAAAATAATATAACCTGTTTAACAAAGGTTAATCTAGATGAAAAAAATCCAGAAAATATACTGCTTGCTCGACCGCAAGGGAGAAGGGATAATTACGCTGGCACCAGGATTTCTGCGTCATCGGTATATTGTAGAGTTCCATGGTTTATCTTCCTACAATCTTGATATTTCTCTTTGCACGATTTGATCTCGTAAAGTAAAGGATTACGTACGTTAAAATCGTACGTTACATATTTCGTAAATAATTATTACAGTTTTCATTTTCGATCTATTAAAGGCAAATAACACACACTCTCTCTCACACACAAACACACATTGAGATTTTCGTAGACAAACAAAGTATTCCTATATTTTTAGTTCAGTTATAATTGAATAGTTATATAATGACACGGTCTGTACATGGAGCAAACGGT